TTGGATCCAAATATTTTTTCCATGAGCATTTTTAAAAGGACAGATTTCTCAGACAAAATAATTAGTTGTGTTTCAGTAAGGATTCAGAAAAGAGAAACACATCCCTCTAAAGAATCATGAACCCCAAAGATCACTCGACTGCCACCAGCTGTCATGGTCAGTTTAGGAACTGGGTGGAACTGGGGAAGCGGCAGGAAAAGAAGTCACAGGATAGCCCTTGGTGGCTTTATCCATGCTCCCTTTGCTGAGTGTTAGGTAGGCCTTGGGGGAAGTCCCTTTCATGCCAGGCACATTCTGACTCATGCTGCTCCAGCTAGCTCTGGATCAGGGATGGTGAGGAGATGCTGATAAAGCATTTCTAAGAGACTGGTTCATAATTCATTGTGTGATCTTGTATGAAACACTTTCTTTTCTTGTGTCACAGTTTCTTCATGACAGGGAGGCATAAGACCAGAAGAGCTCCACTTTATCTTTTTACATATTGGACTTTTTCACATAAAATTTCATTTGGGGAAAGGATTTCTCCACCAGTTCTTATGCTTGAAAAAACAATGAATAAAAATATTAAGTTCCTTCTAGCACATTCTAAGTGTCCAAAGACATAGAGACTGTCCTGTGTGTCAATTCAGTGTTCCATTTGACCTTACTCCATGCAATGGGCCCAAGAATCTGCTGTGACCATACTCAGGTGCCCTGTGTCCCAGTGTCTTTCAGAGACTGTTAACCCTGTCCTCCTATAGTAGCTATTTTTTCCATTGAGCTACTCCTCACTGAGTCTTCTATTCACGTTGCCTGTATTTGTTGGCAAGGATAATTCCACAAGAGTCGCTATTTGCATAGGGTAAGTGGGAGGGGTAGGGGAAAGGAAAGAAGGGAAAGAAAAAATTATGAAAGAGTTGCTATTTGCAGGACAGCTATACTTCCATTTTATAAAAAGGGAGTAGACTGTTTACCTATTTTCTCTTAACATTCTTCTTGTTGATGTCCACTGCTGTATATTTGCTTTTGGACTACAGTAGCATACTTTTCCCTGAGGATTGCCATTGATCTATAATACTCATAAGACCTCTGCCTCAATCACAACCAATGCTCTGCATTTCATTTGAATTATTTTTTCTCAGTGGATTCCCTCACACCTGCTTCCTACACATTTTATAAGGTCTTCCTTTATTATGTTTGGCTCATGTTCTACACAGGCCTTAAAATGTCACTGGGTGCACCTTCCTGGAGACAATTCAGAAAGTTTCACTGAAGTCTAGGATTCACATACACAATATGGTTCCCTTGTTATAAAGATTTTTAAAGAGCAAAATAACAATCTGTGGTTAGGTGCATGTGCTTGTAAATTTTTTTAAGTCCCAAATAGGGTAAATATAAAATTTAAGATAGGCATTGGGGGGATCATGACAGGGACATGAAACAGTGAAAGAATACACAGGTGAAAAAAATTACTGGTAACTAAAAGTTCTTGGGTTGAGTGATAAGTTTATAGGTGTTTATCATACCCTACATAAATAGATAAATAAAAGCAATAAATAAAGTATGAAAGATCTATGTATGAACTACTAATGATTCCAAATCCTGAGGTTCGAAAACAATAGTTAGAAGAGTAATATGAGGCTTTTTCTATTTAGTAAAATATCACCACCATAACATACTTCCTTCCTTCCAGTAAGTCAGGGACTTTTTGAAATTTGAAGTGCATCATAGTTATAGGTTTCCCATGTTGTTAGTTGATTTTCCCCTCAATTATCACCCGTAATCTGATAAGGTTAAGGTTCTCCTTGTTGAAAATATATTGTATTTTCCCACAAGTCTATTTTTGCACAGAGTTTATGGATCTTCATCTCTCTCTTGCTAGTAAGTATGGACTTGAGAATTACCAGCTATACTCTGAATCATTTTTTGGGTCATAATTGCCTGTTTCACCATTCCAGCCTCATGACCATTAGTGTCTTAGTTCATTTCTCATTATTGAGATACAACACTCAAAATCCATAAGTTAAAAGAAGAAAGGTGTATTTTGGCTCACATTTTGTAGTGGTCTTGCTGGCTCCAAGGCAGAGCAGCATGGTAGAGGGACATTGCAGAGGAGAAATAGCTCATCGCATGGCAATCAGGAAGCAGAGAGAGGGAACAAGGTAGAAGCGAGGAAGATAGGCCTCCTTCTAGGCCATGCACCCAGGAACCCACCTCCTCCCTCCAGACTTTACTGCCCAACATCACATCTGGCTATGGACTTATCAGTGGGCTAATCCACTGAGGAGTATCATGGCCCCCTGATCCAATCACCTCCTCAAAGCCCCACCTGATCACATGAGGCTTTGGGGGAACATCTAGGCATTAACTATAACATTTAGTAAAATCACAGCTTTTTGTAAGGTTACCGAATAACACCAAGATGCTCCATTGAATTTGATTTTTAGAGAGACAACAAATAATTTTAGTATGCATATGAATTTGAGGTAATTCTTTTTTTTTCCTTAAATTATTTTATTGGTACATTTTAGGTGTACAATATGTTTACATTTATCATTGGGTGCTTGTACCTGTACATGATGTATCTTGGTTCTTATTTTTTCCCCATTACCTGTGATAATTCTTATACTAAAAAATAAATTGTTATTTACCTGATATTCAAATTTAATTGGGCATCTTAAATTATTATTTGCTAAATCTGGAAATGTTACATTATGTGGGCCAACAATTACTGTTTAATGACATTGTTTGATTTGGGTTCCAAGCAGTAATGTTAACAATGATAACATTTTTTGGCCTCAGAATTCTAACCTATTAGTAGTGAGCACAACACCTCATAAGGTTTGTGAGAATATTAAATGCAATAATAGTTGCACAATACGTAACACAGTGCCTGGCTAAGTACTGTTATCAATATTGTTTGTTATTATTGGTCCCAATGGCTGTTGTTATACTCAATTGTCTTTATTGTAGTTGTTACTATTATTATTGTCTTTTTTTATTCATTAAGTTTATTGCTACATTTTAGGTACACAATATGATGACATTCATCATTGGGAATTTGTACCTTTACATGATATTTCTTGGTTCTTATTTTTTTCCCATTCCCTTGCCCTCCCTTCAACCTATCCACCCCTCCCTATTTATGAAGACTTTGTTTCTGTTTTTTCCTTTTCTCATATATTTTTCCTTTCCCCTTCCCCTCCCACTTCTCCCTCCTCTTTGGACCTTTTCTTCCTATTTCACATTATTGTTGTCAATTTTATACAGAACATTATATGTATTGGTCAAGATTTGGCCTGATGTTGTGAAATTCTCCATTTATGGGATTAATTTGAGAATGGGATTTTTCTTTCTTCTAATATCTTCCTTGGTGATGACCAAAGTAATCTTTCTGTTTCTGAGTGTACCTTTTGATTCATTCTCTAGTTGGCTTTCTCTTTCTAATATAAGGACCTTTTATTTGCATGTGTTTTGAGATCATTTAAGAATTCCTCAAGTTGAAGGCCACAGTCTCCCAATTGGAGATGGTCAAGTGACTTTGAAATGCTACCCTCAAAGCAATGACTAAAGAGTTTGGCTGATAAAAGAGAACAGCCCTAGTCACCATATTTAAATAGATACATGGAAAGCAAAATACCGTAGACAGAAGAACTCACCGTTTTTTACAAAAGAGTTAAGAAATTGGTTTTCCACTTGCCTTCATCTTACTTTTCATGTTAACCATATTTTTAGTGTCCAATGCCTTTATTGTTTCTCCTTTCAAAGAGGACTCCAAAGCCTGTAATTCTTTTTTCCAACCCACTCATCCCCATCAAAATTTATCCTTCTGCTTTCCCACCAACCGTGGCATCTAATTGGACATATTAATTCATTTTACCATTATAAGGGCTAAAAAAGATTCTATTTAATCCCCCTCCCAAACCATAAACTTTTTCTCAGGACTCTACAGCTGAAGAAGTAGCCTAAAAGTGGTATTTAGGGTTCCTTAGCAGATAAAGGAGACCATGCAAGACCCCTTAAATCACACCCCATTATGATGGTTATGTCTGCTTCGCATGAATGGAAGGGAGCATTGGTGCAGATAATTTAAAGATCATTTCCACTTGGTTTGGGAATGCACCAAATGGTGTTGTTGTAGCTGATTTGCTTTGCTAATTATGTTCTACTAAAGCTAATACTAAAATTGGTTCACATTTTTTAAGCTCATCTGGGCCAGAAGAATGCAGAGGTAGCAGCATGGCCCACTTTGAAATGAAGGAAAACTGAAAACAACTATTAGTGGAACGTGAAAGTTCCACATGTGAACCATGAGTCTATAAGATAAACCCAAAAAGGATCAAGATAGAATGTTGGCAATTACACACTGGGAAGAACAGGCAGCCACCTACCTTATGTGACTGAATGGGCACTTAAAGTCCAGTCACTCCTACAGCCTGCTCAAAATCTTAAATCCTCTAAATTGGTAGCCTGTGCAATGGGTCATAACATAATTGTAATTGAACCATTATGTAACCTAGGAAGAGTAACACAACAGACACATTTCACAGTGAACACATTAGTAGTTAGTCTGACTAAATTTTCAGTCATTATTGTCACGGAAGAGAAAAGGCACTGAGGGGAGTGGAAAGACAGTTGTACTTTGTTGGGGACATGGCTACATTAAGAGGCTCCTGCGCCACTCCAGTGGAAGGACAAGAGCCCCTAGTGCCTCAGAGGTGAGCTGGGAAGGTTACTAAAAGGGTAAAACAACCTTCATCTCTCTCCTTCCCACATTTTCTTGGTTTCTTGCTCAAGGTACACATAGACAATATGTAACTATTTCAAATATATCTTCCCTTTCTTTCTTAACTCCTGCTGAGCAACTAGGCTTTCAAGGGCTCCTCGAGATTTTCTGAGGTCTTGCTTTTCTTTTGAGGCATGTAATTCAGAGCCTAACTGTACATTGGATTTCTAACACTGCAAGCTGCAACAAGGGACAATGGGCCTATTGAAATTACTTTCTCTTTTTCTCATTGCAGTCTGCTCCCAGTTCTCAAGAGGGGTGTATGCAATCTTTGGATTCTATGACCAGATGTCAATGAACACCCTGACCTCCTTCTGTGGGGCTCTGCATACGTCCTTTGTCACCCCCAGCTTCCCCACTGATGCAGATGTGCAGTTTGTCATCCAGATGCGTCCAGCCTTGAAGGGCACTATTCTGAGTCTTCTGGGTCACTACAAGTGGGAGAAGTTTGTATACCTTTACGACACAGAACGAGGTAAGAAGATGTATCTGATCTCATCTTTAGATATTCATATAATAATGGTATTCCATCTTCCTCAACACATGTGCCCTTTTCTTGCAATAAATAAAATCTAATACTCTTCTTAAATAATATTTAATATTACCTATAAATCAAAGATTAAGATAAAAAATCAAAGCAATAATAATTTTAGAATCTAATTTTACAAGCTTCATAGGTCCTCACTGAAAAGCTGTTTGAGATACACTCCTGGTTGAGACATTGTTGTGAAAAAGAACACACATACTCCCCAAAAAACTTTTATATGGCCTAAAATCCACAGAGTAAAAAAGCTTAGTCTGAAGTAGAGAGATGCCTAAACTGGAAGGTTTCAAGAAATTAATTCTGTTAGAGATCATAATTATTCCCCTTTCGTAGATGAGATAACTGAAGCCCAAATCGCAACAGTTAAACCACAGATGTGGGACTGGTGGAAATGTCTCCTGCCTCCAGTGTTTGTTCCACCAGGTTGCATTTGGGCCTCAGCTTACAGGACCTCCACAATTCCTTGGCAGAAATCATGAGTGGAGACTGACTCAACTGGCCTCTGGGCGTGGATGATTTTTCTAACAGCAAGATAATATATTGAGGACAGAGTATATTGAAATACTCTTACAAATTAAGTCTGATCTAAAACAGTACACACACACACACACACACAAAAGTGTACTAATTAGCTAAAGTACTTACATCATAATTCACCTTACTGGACTCCAAAGCCCATTTTTTTTGAGGGAGTCCTCAGTAAAAATCAAGGGATAGGACTGATATTCCTTTATCAGACATTTGCCTTTAACTCTGCTTAAAGACTAAGGATGACTCTTTCTGACTCAGGAGTTTCAGAATCAGAGAAAGAACGAACAAATTAAATGTCTGCCTTCCTGAGGGGTACTGGAGAGGAGGTCCTTCTAAGTAACTTAACTTGAAAGCTTCATTTTGCTTTTGGCAACCCAGAGTACTTTTCATTTTGCTGTATCATCATATCCTATCAGGAAATATTTAAGCTGGTATTTGCTTATGGTACTTACTTCCAAAATACTATCAGCTTTCAAAAACCTGGGCCAGGAGATCAGCACTGTAGTCCAAAATCTGCCATTAGCTAGCTCTCTGACCTTGACCACCTTACTGGATCTCTCTCGCTCTTTGTCTTATCACCTACAGTGTGTCCCTTCTTTTTTTCCCATTAAGTTTATTGGTACATTTTAGGTATACAATACAGTTACATTCGTCATTGGGATCTTGTACTTTTACATGATGTATCTTGGTTCTTATTTTTTCCCCATTCCCCTGCCCTCCCTTCACCCCCTCCACCCTTCCCTATTTACAAAGACTTTATTTCCATGTTTTTCCTTTTCTCATATTTTTCCTTTTCCCTTCTTTCCTTTCCCCTACCCCTCCCACTTCCCCTACTCCTTTAGACCTTTTCTTCCTATTTCACAATGTTTCCCTTCTTAATGTAATATTATCTGATTCTGATTTTTTTAGATATTATGTCAGACACAGGACACTTTGTATCTTGCTGCTAACCCTAACTTACATATTATCAGTTAATTAGTCAATTGATTCTATAAGCTAATCCTATGATAGATGTATATACATATAATATGGTTCCAAAAGAAGTGGATTGAAAAAGATATTCATGAAGCTATTCTTAAACAACACAGATATTTTTCAAATTGAATGCTATACTATAGATTCTGATTGCTTTAAGAATTATGAAGAGATAGCACTCTAGAAAAATAGAGTTTTCAGAGAAAGCTTGCTGGAGGAGCTAGCCCTAAGGGATAGGTAAGTTGGAGTTTGCAAGACAGAGAGGGAGGTGGGGTTGAAGAAGTGGAAAAGAGCAGGAACAAAGGACAGAGTCAGGAAGAGGCTCTACATGTTCAAGCAGAGACTTATTTGACTAGGATACCAAAATAGTCTGGATGTTCTAATTCCTAACTTGCTAAATTTTAATGCATTTCATTTTGTGCAAACACTGAGAATGAATTAGCCTATTTCCATATACTGTATATAATGCAATCTAGTGCATAGCAATCTAGTTTTCAGAACTGAAGTTTGAAGATCAGCAGCTTCTCATTTGAAACTTTAAAAGCAAAGTATCAATTCTACTAATACTATAATTCCCATTTATTCAAAAGAAGACACGATTAATGTATTCTCCTCATCTCTTGTGACCCATCTCTGTTTGTTAGCTCTCTATTAGAGAAAAAAAAAAGCCAGTGTCATCTATGCCTATTTCTTATACATGCAGCTTTTTCTCAAATTGTCTCACTAAATGGTTTAGACACTCCTATGGTCTTCGAGTCAAAAGAAACCTTTTTGATTAGTGTAAATTTGTCTTTCTTTCCTGTGTATCCATCTAGCTGGTAGGACTAATCTCTGCTTTAGAGACGTACTTTTCATAAATGTTTGCACAAATTTATGTTTTGGAAAGCCCTCTGAAAGCACTACTATACAAGAAACGTATTCCAAAATTTTTAATGGGTTTTTGTCATCCACATTGGAAAAAAAAAGCAGTCTATTCTTCAAGATTCAATATGATTATTCTTCAACCAACTAACAAACTTGGTCTTCCTATGCTACCTCATTTGATCCTTCCACTGCAGGCAGCTCCCATTTTCCATTATTGCCCAAATGTGCCAGGACCATGCTTGCTTTCACAATTCCACTTCTATTGCTACTACCAGAAATTCTCTCCTTTGTCTTGATTATGAAAATCATACCCCTCATCCCATTTTTCCCAAACTCACATCAAACTCTAGTTCCCCCATTCTTTATTTACTTAGCATTCTTACTATGTCACACATCTACAATGCCCTCCTGGGCAAGAACAAAACCTCAACATCTCTATCTTAATCTGCTTCCACATTTCTTTCCCTGACCACTCCAGTCCAAAATGATTCATTCAATAGATCATAAGGTTACAATTACAAAAAGATACATATGCTTCCCACTGAGAAAGATATACAAAGATCAAGTAAAGTAACAAAAACAAGTGATTTCACATTTAGATAAGGTGGTATGGAAGAAACAAAGAGAAAGATAACAATGGAAAGGACCTAATTTTAAAAGTCTGCTTAGTAACAGGCTCATTAAGAAGGGGCATTTGAGTTGAGAATTGAAAGATTAGAAGGAAGCAGTCATGTAAAGAGTAAAGTTTCAAGCAGTGAAACTAACACACACAAAGGCCCTGTGGCATATTTTAATAACTGAAAGAAGACCAGTGTGGCTAAAGAGTAATTAATAGGCAGAAAACCCCTAAAAATAGAATACAGAGTTAGATAGGAGCCAGATCATAGCCAAGGAGTATGAACAGGAGCCATTGTAATGAGTATGGATTTTATTCTAACTACTATGGGAAGTCATTGGAGGATTCTGAGCAAGAGAATCACATGACTTCATTTAAGTTTCTGTTGAAAATGAAGTGTGGAAAAATAATCAGTTGAGGCTGTTTTGATCATTCAAGTGAGAATGATTCAAGTGAGAATGTTGTGATCATTCAAGTGAGAATTATACTAGGTTGGAAGAGGAGAAAGGTATATGGAGTTGAAATACACTTTGGAAACAAAAGCAGCAGAAATGAAGGAAAGACTGACTATGGAAGATAGAGTAGAGGAAGAATTCAAGGATGACTACTAAACTTCTGACTTAAAAGACTGGGTAAGTTGATAATGCTGTTTACTGAGGTGGACAAGAGAAGAGCCACTTTCGAGGAGCAGAGATCTTGCCAAACTCTAAACCACAGAGATACTTTTTGTTCATGTCATTCACTTGGCACTTAACTGCTTTCCATTGTTATTTCACTAGTTTTACTGTAAACCTTCTCTCTTGAGTAATAAAAACTAATTAACACTTAGATTTATACATTGTGCTTCTGCTGCTATATAGCACAGGCCTGATTTCAGCCTCCATTACTGGTTGATCTAGAATAAGCCCATGTCTGTTTTTCAGTGCTGTGCTGAAAGAAAGAGGGACAGAAAAAGGAAAAAGAGAAGGGAGGGTATGGGGGTAAGAAAGGATGGAAAGAAGGAAAGAAAGAAAGATATGAAAGGGCAGAGAAGAAGGAAAAGAGGGAGAGAGAAGGAAGTAAAGAAAGAAGAGAGGAAAGAAGAGAAGAAAAGAAAGTTCCAATTTATAAACCATTTGGTGCAGTTCTTTTACTATTCAGTAAAGTATTCTGTATTTTCTTATTGTCTACAATGGTTAGCTATTGCTTTAGTAATAAAAATTATAGGGAAAATTATAGCATCAAAGTATAATTTTAGAATATTTTAAATTACATAAGAGAAATGAGAGACACATGAAAGCACCTATAGTTACATTTGAATAAACTAAACATATAAACAATGTGACTACTGTAGAAGAGCAGGAATGATGAGGAGCTGAGAAATGGGTCAAACTTTTGAAGTCACTTGAAAGATGTATAGCACAAATTGGATCATTTTTCTCTCTGAAATTATAAAACATTGAATGGATTTTCAAGGATTCTCTGTGATTCAATTTCTGTTGGCAAAAGAAAAAGCTTGCTTGAAGTTTGCAGGTCATCATTTCACTTAGTTATTAAAATACCACCTTAGTTCATTAGTATACAGTTGAAAGTTATGCTCTTGATGCTATATACGTAAAAGGGCAGCTCTTGGAAAATATTATGAGGTTGGTTTAAGTGTGCTATCTCCCAACTCTGTACCCTGTCCTCTTTATTGACCGACCATTCTTCATTTACCTAGCACTTCTCACTATGTCACACATCAACACTGCCCTCCGTGGGAGGAGCTAACCCTCAACATCTCTGTCTTAGTCTGCCTCTATATTTCCATAAAAATTTTCCTGTCCTGCATTTTGTTCCCACTGATTAATAGTCTTTCTCTGCTAATGATAAGCTCAATTCACCAAGTTATTCATGCCAATTTACTATAGTTACTAATGACTTGTGCACCCAGGGAGGAAGAAACTTCTATTCAGGAAAGGGACTT